AACAATAATTTCTTAAAAATGCCATTGTATATTTGTATTATTATTATATGTAGTCTTGGAGTTGTTGAGAGAGAGAAAGAGAGAGGGCCCTGAAATACCTTTATCATTTATCAATATCGTCATGCCTGAGCGCGCGAATATCAGCTCCGATTAGTAAACTTTGATTGCTATTAATTTAAAAAATTATAATCTCATATTTTTTTTAGATTTTCATATTAATATTTTCGTCTTAGAATGTTGTCAAAGAATCCATTTTTGAAAGGATGTTTTTGAAGCACTGTATATATATATATTAATTTGTTTCTCTTTTATTTTATAGATAATTATATTCTTCCGAAAGGTATCACGGTCATATTGACAATATTATTAACACACCGAAATCCGGTGGTTTGGCCGGACCCATTGAAATTCGACCCGGATCGCTTTCTTCCAGAAAATTCAAAGAACAGAAATCCGTATGCCTATATTCCGTTCAGCGCTGGACCAAGAAACTGTATAGGTCAGAAATTCGCTCAACTCGAAGAGAAAATTGTGTTGACTGCTATCCTCAGGAAATGGAGAGTGAAAAGTGTGAAAACAGTCGACACGATTAAATTCGAAGGTTCTATCATTTTACGACCAAATGAAGATGTATTAATGCATTTCACGTCGAAGAAATGAACAATTTGCGATGAATAAGATAGTTGGCCCAGAAATCGTCAAGATATACAAGTAATCGCAATTTCACGTATTAAAGACGTATTTTAGTGCTTTCTGTCGAGCGTGAGGCTTGCTAATATTTTTATTGGTTCCAAGAAAGTATTTATAATATTGTGTTACATTATGAAACTCGTAAATATATGAATTCACTATTGATTAAATCGAATATGAGCAGCAACCGAGCCTATGCGTGATTTCGATCAACTTTTTCATTATGAAGTTAAAAGACATTGTTTGACATTTCGTGTGATTTTGAAGTATTGGCAACTTGCATGAAATAAATTGAGCTTCGAGTTATAAATCGCAGTTTTATGTTTTGATCGCAGTTTTACACACAAATTATTATTATTTAATAGGTTTTTTTTACGTGACAAATACTGATTCACCGAAGCACGTTCGAGTAATCGCCATATCTATCGATTATTGGGACTGGTGAGTTGAAAAAAATTTTTGTAAATCGAATAATAATGTATCCAAAATTCAAATAAAAAAATTGGATCCGTAATTGTTATCTAGATATTCTACGAACCAGTAATCATCATAGGCATAGTCGAGTTAATAAATTGATACGCAAGTAAATAAAGAATGTCAATCACTAGATCGTTTCTGTATCGATGACTGGTACATTTAGAACAGAAATCGGAGAAGAGAGAACTATTCGAATAAAAACTAATTTTACAATTCTTTTCTATTAAAACAGCTATTAATATTTATTGAAAATTTGTAATAATGATAGTTC